GATTTCACAGAATGTCGCTTATCTGGAAGGTCACAGTTCGATATTTGCTTAACTGGTTCGAGAGTTCCAATAATGTTTCCCTCTTTTATTCTTACTGTTTCGGAAGAAACATTGGCAATTCTTATCATAATGTCCCCATTTGTTCTTACTAGAGTCTTCCCAACAATAAATCTTTCTGGTTTATCTCCAATAAAATTACGTGTTAGTCCAACGCAGCACCCAGGTTTTGTTTCTAATCTTCCACAAATGATCTTCTCAGTACTTCCAGGAATGCTCACTGGGGTTGTGGCCAAGATCTTAACGGCATCGGATTCTTCTTGTGTTGTTAGGACAATTTCTTCATTGCCAAATTTAAGGATGTTCATGGAAGGATCAAAAGAGAAACCATGTTGGCCGATCAAATCCATTCCCAAAATGAAATCATCTTCTATATCGGCGACTGTTCTGTGCCTGAAGGTAGTAGATCCAAAAGTAAGCTCAATCATAGCTTCTCCTTGAACTGGTGCAGATTCGCCGGTGACTGTTCGTAGTGACAGATTTCTAGTGAGCGGTTGGATTGCCCGAGACTTTACTAATGTTCTTCTAATTATAGAAACTTCAGCACCCGTATCAAAAGTGATGGTTTTCAATTCTCCATTAATTTGTCCTTCGAATTTTAATCCTCTATAATGACTGCCTAATGATTTTATGTACACAACTCTGGGGGCTTCGTCATTACTAGCCAGCATCCTCCCTTCCGTACTAGTTGGTTCCTCTTTGTTATTAGGGCTGGCGTCTCTAGACCTTGAAAAGCGTCGAGAATGATCCCCAGATGGAAAGGACATCCTTAGTCTGCAATCCCATTGCATGTGTCCAAGCTTTTGGCACCGGTAACATTTTACTCGGTTTCTCGGGGTTGATGTTTGTCTGGAATCGTTTCCCATTTTTCTATCTTCTAGTAACAGTTTCTCCATTCTCTCCAATTACTCATTACAGTCTCGAAGCTACCATCCTCCTTTGACAACTGTTTATCTTTTGGGTCTTCAATGGACACTGCCCGTATTCTGGGTCGTGAGGCACCAAAGATTGCTTCCAGTTCTAATGCTCGAACAAGGGCTTCGCTACTTTGTCTGAACTTAGACATTCTTAGGTTTTCCTGGATCTTCGAATCTCTGAGACCATCAATAATGGCAGTATATCCATTCCTGCATGTCTTCCCCAGCTGCAGGAAAAAGCAAACTCACTAGCCTTTTAACTTCCGATTCGAATTCTTGTAGACTCTCGCCGGGTTTTTGAACTCTTGATTTAACTTGAGTTCTGAATATTTCTTGTCTGTAATGGTCTCCGAAGCGCAATTCTAAAGTTTGACTTAGATGCTGGTAATTCTGTTGGTAGACTGAAGGAATGGACTGAAGAAGGTCTAAGGCAGGTCCTCGTAGCGCCACTATCAGTGCTGTAGCTTTTTCTTGATCATTCCATCCGTTGGTATTTGCAGCAGCTTCAAATTGTCGGATATACATGGTCCAGGATGTAGAACCGTCAAAATTTGGTGGTTTTATCTTTATACCAGAGAATGCCCCAACACTAACTGGATTAATGAACTGTATTTATAATTTATTCACATTATCTTCAAGTGCTTGAACTGCTTGAACTTGGGCCTCAACTTCTTGTCTTAATTGCTGAACATCGTCTTTAACTTCTGGAACATTGTCTTTAACTTCTTGAACATCGGCTTTGACTACAGCTTTTACTTCCTGAACGTCGTTTTTAACTTCTCGAACATCGTCTTTAACTTCTCGAACATCGTCTTTAACTTCGGCTTTTACTTCCGTAATCTTTTGTTCTAGGTTAGCGACAAATCCGTGTATATTTTGAAATATTTTCTGTAAATGTTCAAAGTCTTCTTGCCGTTCTTTTTGTCGCCTGGCTTCTTGGTCTTGTTTTTCTTGTTGTCGTCTGGCTTCTTCGTCTTGTTTTTCTTGCTGTCGTCTGGCTTCTTCGTCTTGTTTTTCTTGTTGTCGTTTGGTCTCTTGAAGTCCCAACATTTTGCGCAGAAGTTCTTCATCTTTTTGTTCGTCCATTTTTGCTTGTTGTCTTGTGATAGGCATATACAGAAAGTTCTAGAATTTCCCTCCAACTTTCTTCAAATATCTTTTCTGGTCTTTGCTCGAAATTCCAAACACGCCGGTGAAGTCACAAATTGGAAAACTTGCTTTATTCTAGAATAGAATGTTCTGGAATTTTCTTGAAATTTCTTTTCTAGATGTAGATTGATACAGCAAACACGTCGGTGAAGTCACAATTTCGATATCTCCCTTAGTTTCCAAATAGAATGTTCTAGAACTTTCCCGAAACTCCTCGAAAAACCTCTTCTGAATGACGATTGATGTTCCGAATACGTCGGCGAAGTCACAAATTCGATATCTCCCTTAGTTTCCAAATAGAATTTTCTAGAACTCACTCGAAGATTCACTATTACAGTCAAAATCGGGATAAGAGTCACTTCCGGGGTAATTCACACGATCGGTTAAGTCTCTTTTTGTCATTGCCACTGTTTGCACTAACTAACTGTCCCAGTGTTCACTTAGTGTTCAGTTTTTTCACTACACTAGTGTCCCCGCACTTCCGCAATTGGATTTCACTCTGCAGTCCTTTATATCCCACTTCTGACACCAATTGTCACGGCTTTGGATTGCCGGACAGAAATCTTGGGTTCGTTTCGTTTATTCCAAAAATCAAAGTACAATTAACACAGCAATAATTTATTCCACTTAACAATACACTCTGACACTAATTACTCTAATAACTAACTCAACAATTAAACTCTTACAACTCGCAACAATAATCACTATTTAAATCGTATCACAGTCAAACTGAAACTTTAACTTAAACTACAAAGCAATAGCGGCCTTTTATATAGCCCTAAATCTATTCCTGTAAAATCTAGAACACACACGATAATCTTATTTTCTCGATTATAGTAGAATAATTCGCTAGGTTCTAGGATATTCGTCATCAAATTCTTGACAGCCTGGCGGACACCTATTCTGGCAACAGCGTTTAACGTTATCATAACAATATAGACGCTGAACGGTCTAGAGTTTAACTGAGGAAAAATCACTCGATCTGAGCAAAAAATATAGATTTTTGAGTTTCTTTATTGAAAATGTCTGATACGCTTCTCATTAGATATGTTAGACGTCTATCTGAGCTTTAACCATATACCGTAATAATTTTCTATGTGATAAATTATTATTGTGCCCTCAAACGAACCCATAATTGTATTTTCATATATAATACCACAAGAGAAAAAATTTTGTTGGTTATACAACTCACTGTACATTATTCCCATATGACACGAGAGGATTAACAAGTGATAATCCTTCCCATATGACACGAGAGGCTTAAGAAGTGATAATCCTTTTGCACGGTAAGTGGTGTTTTGACATTTTTTGACAAAAAATTTAAATTTTTGATTCATGAAATTATTAATTGAAAAAGAATTAAAGTTTAGTTCGTTGTATAACCTTTTGAATACCACTCGATGTTTCAGGCTTACCTAATACTTTTACCTGACACTCAACGCGTTACCAGCAACACCACTCCTCCTTCGGAGTCGTGGTGTTGCTGCGTAACGCGTTTCGTGACAGGTAAAAGTATTATCCGGTAATCCTGAAACCTCTTGTGGTATTACATTCGACAACATTTTCGACTGGTATGAAAGTTTGTTGCTTGGCAATTTCGCGAATGACATTTTTGACAAAATCACTCGCCTGACGGCTCGTGGTTTTGTCAAAAATTTCATGGGCGAAATTACCAAAAAGCAACAAACTTGAAGAAAACCAAGAGAATAATTTTGCCTACATAATTTTTTCTTGAGTGGTATTCGGCTGGACTATTTCACGAGAAAAACAAGCCAAATTTTCATTTGGAAAATTTATTTTCTTTAGGTGACACTTGTCAAAAACAATAGTTTTTTTCTACAACTGTCAAAAAATGATGATGTTCGCACACATCACACTCATAACAGTTTGCGAAGTGACACTTTTTTTCCCAGGTATTGATTTTTTAACGTTCCCATGACGCCAGTGTGCGAACTAGCTGTTTCGCACCCTAGTGACACATACCTGTCAGGATGCCAAAAATAATTAAAATTCACCTGCCTTTGATTGGAAATGCAATTTTGGCTTCGAATGATCGATATTTGAATGAAGTTGTAGAAAAAATATTTTTTGCAACTCGGGCGCGAAATGTTTTTGGTGATCTCGAACGATTTTTTGACTCCGCTACGCGTCCAAAATTACAATTCGCGCACTTGATACAAAAATAACTATTTACCTTAACCACACAAAATTTTGTCGCTGAAAAGCTATCATGTTGGTTTTGCCCAGGTAGGAACAGGTAGAAGTTTTGTCAGTAGGAAACCGGCCGTTCCTATGACATTTTGCCAGTGTAAAACACTCTAGTGAAATAGTCATGAACTTTAAATTTATTCGATTAAACTATCCAACATATTTTGAACGTGATTTTGCTTGGAAAATAGTTGAATGCACAATAACTTAATAAATTTAAAAGTTATTGTGCATGAAACTATTTGCCAAAAAGCAAAATTATGCAAAAAATATTTTAGATAGTTTAATCCATTTAAATTTATAGGTCGAGTGGTATACGGCTAGATGATTTCCTGAATAATTAGGATTGAATTGTTGGCGTCAATCCTATCCAAAGAGTTCTATTTATTATAAAATATCAGAATATTTCTATCAAAATTCTGTCAAAAAAGGTAAACAAAAATTTAATCGCTGATAAACAAGGTCTTGTGAAATAATCACTTATTTAAACAAAATTCATTCAAAAAATGACGTTGTCTGATGGGTCTATTTTATAATGAATGAAATAATCAAGTATAAAAAATCACAACCTTTGTTAGAAAAAAAAAGCGATGAATTGAATGATTGTCGAACTAATATTTCCGTCGATAGAATATCGTACGATAAATTGACAAGGTATGCTCATTTCAGAAATGGTATGATTACAAGCTACGATGGAATCCTGAAGAGTATGGTGGCGTCGAAATGTTGTATGTACCATCTGAACACATTTGGCTTCCAGATATCGTCCTATTTAATAAGTAAGTCATAGGTATCTCATCTCTCCTATCTCCATTAATAATTTATAATTTTAGTGCTGATGGTAATTATGAAGTTACGTTAATGACAAAAGCGACTCTAAAGTATACTGGCGAAGTCGTCTGGAAACCACCATCAATTTATAAATCTTCCTGTGAAATAAATGTTCAATATTTTCCATTTGACGAGCAAAGTTGTTTGATGAAATTTGCTTCTTGGACTTATAATGGGTTGCAGGTGAGGTATTTCTATGATGCACATAAAAATTTGCCATTTATCGATAATTTCCTAGGTGGATCTTAAACATATGGATCAACAACCTGGCAGCAATATAATAAAAGTTGGGATTGACCTATCGGAATTCTATTTATCAGTTGAGTGGGATATTTTGGCAGTGCCAGCAACTAGAAACGAGGAATATTATCCAGATAAAGACGAACCATATTCAGGCATGTTACATATTCTCTGATTTGTGTTTATTGAATAACAAAGACAGATATTAAATTTTAAATATTTATAAATATTTAATTTTAGATATCACATTCAAAATAACAATGAGAAGGAAGACACTGTTTTACACGGTTAATCTTATAATACCCTGTGTTGGTATTACATTCCTTACAGTTTTGGTATTTTATTTACCTTCCGATTCTGGAGAAAAAGTGAGTTATTAATGACATGATTGCCAATAGATAGTTATATAATACTTGTTTTATTTAAATGACTCCTAAATTCTACAGACAAAAAGGAAATATCATTACTATATTATTAATATAGATATATAAAAATCATAAATAATTATAGTATACAGTTAAAAAAAAAAAAACTTCTGAATTCAGTATTTGAAATAATTATTTGGTATTTTTTAGGTAACACTTTGTGTATCAATTTTGCTATCATTGACTGTATTTTTCCTGTTATTGGCTGAAATTATTCCGCCTACTTCACTTGCGGTGCCATTACTGGGCAAATATCTCCTATTCACGATGATATTAGTTACATCTTCAATTTGGGTAACCGTTTGCGTACTGAATGTCCATTTTAGGTAGGTAAAACCACAATTAGGTTGACTTAGTTTTGGTCAGCGATTTATAATATATATTTTCAGATCTCCCTCGACTCATAAAATGTCTCCTACTTTCCGCAAAATTTTCCTCCAGTTTATGCCAAAAATTTTAATAATGAGGAGGACCACGTATACTGTTCCAGAATATGATGATGATCAGCCTCCTAGAGGATACACAACTGCAGATTTGGATTTGCAGTAAGTGTATTATTACTCGTTATACATTTTAAAAAAATATATATATGGTACAATTGTGATGAGCTTGAAGTCCCATCAAATGATTTCGTCGATAATTGGTGAAAGTTCAAGCTTATGCTAATAATAGGTGAATGTTCATGGCAAAATATACAGGCTAAGTTACTAAGTGCGCGGTGGTCCATATCTCCTATACTTACGGAGATAGAAGAAAAACTTGTAGATAAACATGAGTACTACATTCGAACAACGACTTAAAAACCTCTCGTTCTCATAGTTCTACCAGCTACCAAGGCTTGTATGAGAAAAAATCAAGAAGAAAAATATAAATTTCAAAATTTTATTTTGTAGTAATTTGTCATTTGACCCTTTATCTTTTACAAATGAGTAACAAATAAATTGTTTTACATTATACGCCAGGGAACGGTTTTTACTGTCTCTTGAAGGTGACAAGCTTGCCTAAGGGCTCGCTAGCCATTTGCGTTTATGAACATGATTACAATAACGAGTGTGAAAGATTGGAACGACGAGGTCGTAGACCGAGTCGTTCTAATGACACGAGTTTTGTAGTCATGTTTGAACCTGTGATGTACAACGTTTTATCCACAAAGCGTAAAATAAGAATGTTTTTTTCAATTATTTTCATTTATTAGTACCTAGTTGTTTACCTTCATTTTACTTTTACAGGTTTAACTCTGACATTTGTCAAATCACGAAAAATAGTTGTGTTGTAGATTCATAATCATAATCTAGTCCATAACACCACTAATTGTGTTATGAACCTCATGGCATAACTCAAACACTAGAAAAATGGTTATGTAAAAACGTCACAACCGAACGCTTCTAGATAATTGACCTGTCTCACATAAATAAAAAAAGATAGCTTAATTGTAATAAATACAAGTTGGAAAGTAATGAAAGATAACATGCGCGCGCAACTAGTGGGTTGCAGTGTAGCCAGTTTGTATTGTTGCAGAACAAATTTAGACAATACAAATCAACATTATACCAATAAAAAAGCGATTTGTTTACAACGTGTTTTACAATGCTTTAAATTAGACAAAATAAGAGCTTTAAAGTGCATCGTTTACACTTGTATTCTGATAGATGTTTCATCCGGCAACATCGCATAATGAAAGTGCAAAAGAATATGTCAAGTATAATCTGACATAATTTTAGACAATACTTCGGTGAGTTCAGAAGTAATACGTAAAGTATTAGTCTGCTCTTTGTCGAATTACACGTTACAAAGAAAGAAGGAAAGAATAATTCTGAACTGGCCCCTGAATAAGAATACGACGCAAGCCCCTAACAAACTTGCTTCTCATTGGACGCTCACCTGCAACCCACGAGTTGCGCGCGCAGTCAAGGTAAAAAAAGATAGGTCAATGTGTGGAAGTCGAGGTAACAGGGATAATGTGAAATTTTATTTAGTTCCTGCTATTTTAAATCATCGGCTTTTGATCTACAAAAATGAATTATCAAAACAACGCAGGGCTTTATGAATTGCTGCAATTAAAAGAAAGAATCTAATAGAGGCTCGATTTCCCCTTATTAATAATACCTTAAGATATTCACTCTCCATCTCAGAATTTATTATTAAATTGAAAAATACGTAGAAACACTATAAAATTCACTTTGAAAACAACAAGGGCCAGAACACTAAAATAGTATATTAAAGTATAAGTGGATATTAAGGTCTTTAAAACACGCGCGAATTTTCGAGCACGACGGCGCAGCCGAGTGCTTGAAATGGAGCTTTTAAAGACCATATCCACGAATACTTTACACTATTTTCTTTTATTGGTACCTATGCGTTCAAATCATAAATTACTAATAATTGTAGAATGCTAAATTCGTGCTTGTTACATTTTATTTGACGTTAACTACAAGTACCTACTCCTGACAAATCAATAATTAAAAAGTTGACATTTAAACCTTTCTCGGGTTGTTGGTTGTTGATGTTGTCATTGGTAACTTTAAAACACGCGCGTTTTTGAATGTTGGATTTAAACACGCTGAGGAGTACTTTAAATAAGTGAAATAGGTTATCAATTAAAAAAAATATGTAGAAATACTAAAGACTATAAAATTCACTATGAAAACAACAATGACCAAAACCAAAACCAATGAAAAATACGTAGAAACACATAAAATTCACTTCAAAAGCAACAAGGGCTGAACACAAATTCTCTCCTTATGAACGTCACCGGCTTGTCACCCCAATATTTGACCCATGATTTGACCTGAACGGTCATATAAAATCACTTGATTGAGATTGCCTAATTACAAGTGCGTTTATGAACATGATAACAATAACGACTGTAAAAGATTAGAAGGACGAAGTCGTAGTCCGAGTTGTTCTAATCACACGAGTTTTATAGTTATGTTTAAACGCACGTGTGATGTACAAAATTTTATCTACAAAGCGAAAAGTAAGAATGTTTTTTCAATTATTTTCATTTATTAGTAGTTGTCTAACTTCCTTTTAACTTTACAGGTTTACCTTTCACATTTGTCAAATCACTAAAAATAGTTGTGTTATAGATTCATAACCTAGTCCATAACACCACTATTTGTGTTATGAGTCTCATGACATAACTCAAATATGGTTATGTGACGACATCATAACCAAAAGCTTATAGATAAACTGTATTTATTAATAGTTATTTACATTACAAGTGCGTTTATGAACATGATTACAATAACGAGTGTGAAAGTTTGGTTCTAATCACACGAGGTTTATAGTCATGTTTAAACGCACGTGTGATGTACAACGTTTTATCTACAAAGCGAAAAATAAGAATGTTTTTTCAATTATTTTCGTTTATTAGTAGTTGTTTACCTTCATTTCACCTTTACAGGATTACCTTTGACATTTGCCAAATCATCAAAAATAGTTGTGTTATAGATTCATAACCTCGTCCATAACACCACTAGTTGTATTATGAATTCATAACCAAGTCTATAACACCACTAGTTGTGTTATGAGTCTCATGACATAACTCAAGTACTAGAAAAATGGTTATGTAAAAACGTCATAATTAAACGCTTGTAGATAAAATAGTTAAAATTCCTGCAAATCTGTCAAAGCATTTGTCAAAATTCGTTCTGGTATTAAACTTCGTTGGATAAGATAATTTTTTATTTTTTTTAAGAAATGCTTCTCATTCCATCAGATTTTTTATTTTATCAGAATTCCAATGTTATGATAATAAACTATGCATCTCATTTGGAATAAGCAAGTTTTTGATACTTTCATGAGTCATTCATTAATCATTAGATTCACAACGCCCTGTATATTATTGCAGAGATTTAGCAACAGACTGTAGTTCCTCTGGATTTTGTTTAACTATGAATCAAATTTCATTTTTTTATTATTTTATCTGAAAACGTTTGGTAATGACGTTTTTACATAACCATTATTCCAATATTTGAGTGGTGTCATGAGACTCATAACATAACAGTGGTGTTATTTTCTAGGTTATGAATTCATAATACACCTATTTTTGTTCATGCAGAGAATAGAATAGTCTACTGATAAGTAGGGCATTAAAGGATTTTTGATAAATGCCCTCACATTCGACAGTGTCATCACTTATATTGGCAAATGGTAATATATCATCCTGCCTTCTTGCAAGATTCTCTTCTACACATATCAAAAATAAAATGAACTCCCTTTTTCTGAAAAAGAAACAACAGATTTCACTTGAGCTCGAAAACCAAGTGCCATACTTTAAATGAGATTCGAACAGTGAGATATTCACTATTCGAGCAATCGGAGCACCTAGCTGAGAACATATATCCTAATAGCAACCAAATAAATGAGAGTTTGCTTGGTGTCAGATTATGTTATTCAAATCGAAGATTCTTATGAATTGCCACGCTAAGGAATCTGCTGATCGTCTTCATACCATTGCCATTTATATCGCACTGTATCGAAGACCGTCCCTCCGAGCAAATCATTCTGCCACCTTCAAGATATGTTGCAAACCAGGCAAGATCACGTCTCTGATTCCATCGAGTCCAGGCTTTTTACAGCGATCTTCTCAATAACCTTGGAGAAAGGTAACAACATTGATATGGATGGGCGAAAGTTGGTGCGAGTTAATCCTAGGCAGAAAACCGCCGATCGGCGAAAATTCTATCTTTCTACCAACAAATTCAAAGCGTAGTCTAGTCAATACGGAATTTTTTGTTCCGTACATACATCTACACTATTTCCAAATTCAAGCGGCAGTAAATGACAAACTGGTCATTTTCATTACAACCTATCAAATGTCCTCCTTGCATGAGCACTGGTCCAGGTAGGGCGTTTCAACCAATAGGAAGGCTGGTGTTTGTTTACAATTTAGGTTATTAAATGTCATTTACTGCCGCTTGGATTTGGAAATGGTGTAGTCTCCCTCACTTCGCCCTCATTGGGTGATCATCAAAGGTCTTGCTCACCTTCACTTGGTAAAGAGTAATAAAATTCTCTTGGAAAAATCATTACCTGTGGTTTAGTTCAGGTTACTTGGCTAAGTAAATCTATTCTGCAGCTACAACCTTTCCCCCATTGTTTGCACAACCATTCTGTAATAGCCGTTCATTCTTACGGATCAGCTCTCATCAGACGTTTTCATTTTTTATTCTTCTGCATCCGTTCGCCTTTGTCATTCGAAATACTCCGGGCCATGATGGATACTTCGTCTTCATTCTTTATTCCGGGGGGGTTACCTCCCAGTCACCTACGTCATCAGACATGTGTTCATGTTTGTCTTTAAGACATCTTTGATCGTTCAAATTCTTCGCTCTGATTGCGTAGACCATTCTCTAGTTGAAAATACATGATTTTCTTTTGAATATGTGAATCTGGTAGGCGCACTAACCCAGCAAAGCTGATGTTGGATGAGCATCACTATACCTCAAGGCTGGCGTCGTATTGTCAAATACCCTTTTCAAAAATAATTCAAGTGTTGCGACGTCGCACTTGTGAGTGTTGAATTTCTGTGTCAATGACTACCTACCGAGGCATAGGAAGTATTATTTTATATTTGCTAGAGGTACTTTATTTATAATTACATCTGAACTTGGTGCATAAGTGGGTGGGGTTAGCTCTTAGATTGGCTAAGCTGATATATAAATTTTTCGCCTCATCCCTGTAAAGCTTTCGTAAGCTTCCTTGAATGCAATGCAAGTTGTTTGTAACTCTTCTTCTGTAATTGGTAGGACAACGTTGTCAGCAGCATAATGAAATTCACACTTGTGAATGTATTTGCTCGAAGTCTGCTAGGCTTGAATAGCTCACAATCGCTACTAAATATAAGAGATTCCAACACCCCATTCCCGATTGCAGGCTTTCTTCGCTACTCCAATTTTGATTTTAGAGGCTTCCCTCGGTCCGTTGATGGTAAGGACAATGCCGTTCATATGTTCATGGAGTAAAATGAAATATGTTGCTAAATTTAGCCGGACCGCCGAGCAAAGCCAAACTTTTCCATTTGTCTTGCATTGGAGATCATTTCCACCGCATACCTGGATTTGGTCTAAAGCCATACTGTTTCGCGTATGGTTAGAGAGAATCGTTGCAAACATTTTTCTGGCTTTCGAGAGCAGTGATGTTCCTCGGCAATATCCACACTATGGCTTTTGGATTTTCTTCTCCATTCTTCAGTTGGTTGATTTGTTTTTCAACCTCTTGATGGTGATGAACGGTACTGATGAGATGGTTCTGAGTGGGTCATTGTTCAAGACGTGATCATTAGCTCGAGACTCTCTGTTGAAGAATTCCTGGAAATGTCTCTTCCATCGAGATTCCTGGACATGAAAGCGATTCAATTAAAAGGGATCAACACCGGAATCGAATCCTGAGAAAAATTTCTTGGGACATTACAAAATAAAGTATTGATATATCAGCCTTATTATCTATTAACAAATCATTGGGATGTTGATCATACCCCGATGATAGCCTAGAGAAATGCAGACTGACAAAGAATGATCGACAAATTCATTGAATGCGATGGTCGCGGGTTCAAATCCCGCAAACCCTCCAACTTTTTCAATTTTCCTTGACTTTAATTTCCACACAAATTTTCTTTAAAAACATGAGATCTGCAATAGAAAATTGAGCGATAAGGTCAGACCTAGCATGATGTGATGTTTTCTTGAAACTTCATTACAGAACGGAGTAATGGACAGTGAACAAAGATAACTACTGTGAAATTCTTCAGGCTTTCAAATTGTCCGTACACAGTGGAGGGAAATACCTACCATACTCATTGAGAATTGCTACGATGATATTCAATCTTCTTCACCCAAAGTAGCAGCGGAACAAGATTACAGCAAGCCACAAATACGCACGAGCTATCCAATTTCAACGTTCGCGCGAAAAATAATAATAGTAAACATGTTTCTCTCACCTAAAGCTATGTTCAAACTACCTAAGTTTAATATAAATTAATCTGTTTAGGCTCAACATGGGAGAACCGTTTACAACAGATTTTAAAATTACCACGAGAGAACCCAGCTTTGTGCTACAAAATTCTGACCCAGAAGATGTGAATAAAATGAAAGCCCATTCATCAAGTAAGTTATTATTGGTTTAAATTTATTATTTTGAATATCCTTACTCTGCTAAAACTTTTTAATTGTTAAGATTTGATATTTTCTGTTAATACCGACTCTATTTTTTCTTAGTATAACGTGCTTTTCATTCATGAACCAACGTACCTGTATGTAGGTAAATTTTTAATTTTTTTTTTTACTTTTCTGTGTCGATACAATTATCGCCAATAAAACGTATTTTCTATTATTAGTTTGATGATTTTGATTCGTTTGTCAAGGCTGATTTTTTAAGAATCAATCACAATAATTATTATTGTCAATGTGCAATTTTTTTTAATGAAATTAGCTCGAGTAACTGTAACTATATACTTAGTATATGATTATGAGGTATGTAACTTTTCTTCCCTAGAGATACAAATAATGCGAATTATTTATTACAGTGGGCGACTCATCAACGAATGTAACCCAAAAGAGTTTATCCCCGAATGTACTAGCTGCTTTGGAAGGAGTACGATTCATTGCTCAACATATTCGTGATGCTGATAAAGATAACGAAGTATATGATTTATTCACGTTCCATCTGAATTAATTTTAAAATATTTTTTCCTTTTGTAGATTATCGAAGATTGGAAATTCGTATCCATGGTACTTGATCGATTCTTCCTCTGGGTATTCACCATTGCTTGCATCGGTGGTACGGCCGGCATAATTTGTCAGGCTCCCTCGCTATACGATACCAGGATTCCTGTAGATCAAAAGCTAAGTGAAATTCCTTTAAGCAAGATTTTCCAAGATCAACTACCTTTACCTCCAGGAGTACAGCCTCTTTAAGTTAAATGGCCCCCTAATGCGGAGACCAATGATGGTTATTTTATTTTATTTTATTTATTTTTTTTACTTAAAAGTTGGGTTAGATAAGATAATAGCCTTTAACATACCAAAGGGTTAGTTTAATTTGGTAACTGCGTCTAGTTATTGTAAATTTTAAGGTGACAACGTTTATAAAGAAAGTATAGAAAAGTGAAAAATATTAGAATTAAGGTAATTTCCTAGTCAATAAAACGTAATTTCATATTCTTATGTATGTTTTTCAATTCTTTCTGTCGTCACATTAATCATCTTGCTTAAAAAAATGTACAGGGTGCTATAGACTAATTATTATTACAAAAATATTTAGGTTATGTGGATCTAAGTATATAGTACCTAATTATAATAAAATGTGCTATGTAGTCACATTCAACGTGTACCCAACTTTTAGGTTTAAAATTTAGAGGCTCCTAAACTTTTTATAGTTCGAAATCACACTGCGTTAGAAGATATTTACGCAAAAATGTTTATTTTTTAGATAGTGAAGGTTTTTACTGGGATTTATTTTTTAGAATATTTGCATCACATAATGCCAATTTTGCCAATTCTGTAGCAGAAAAATCAAGCAATGCAAACATCACCTTGTTGAACAAAAATCAACTAATTCACAATAAACAATTAAATAATACTTAAAAACAAAGTTTCTTTAAGCAAATAAATAGTAATTTAGTAAAATATATTTCCATAGCCAATTAAAGATTTACGTAAATGTTTTACAAAATATTGTTACTTAACAAATTTTAGGTTAAATTTTATTAAAAATATTATTGTTAAATATGCTGCATCAATATTTATTTTTAATATTAAGTAAATTATAAGAAAATAAACACAATCTTTATTTACAAATAGTTACTTACCTACTTAAAAAATTGAACTATAATAATTTTAATATGGGTTTTGTAATTCATAATTTATGTGTGCAAAAAAGCAAGCCCACCCATAAAACTCCCAAATTTCGTAGAATCCAAACACTCTGTGTGATTTGGATGATACTTCTGATGTTTAGTAAACTGTGAACTACCTGAAAAACGAATCGAGTACCTTTTAAATAATAATGTCAAATAAAACTAAAATACAAACATGATTAAAAAAAAAATTAACACAACTCACGAATTTTATAGTTAAATTTATCTTCTATCCAATATACGTTAACTTCCAATAATAAAGGTAAACAATTGCGATTAGGTCATAAGTTTTTGTATGGATTAATATTAGGTTAATTCTTCACACTGGGAGAGGTCTGATTTATAAGTTCCCCATAGAAATTAAGGTAAAAAAAAAACAGTATAATAGCTCTAATGATTATTACTTTTCAGACTGAAATATAATTGTCTTTCGTTTCGTTTTTGCGTAATGCCCCCTCCCCCACAAAATCAAGCAAACGTCAATATCTCGCAAACGCAACATACGAAATGAAAGGGACTTATATAAAGTATAAAAAAAATACAAAATATGCATCTTTAATGATGCCTATTTATATTTTAAAAACTCCTAAGAAAGCAACAGAAGGCTCAATAACATAATATGTATAATTATACCTTATAACTTCCTGTTAGATATGAAAAAAATAGTTGCAAACTAGATTGAATAACATAAAATCGGCTCTCTTCATCTAAAATGCTAACTATTTTTTTACATTATTTAAAAACTAATCTTTAAATTTTTGATTTTCATTTGTATATAAATGATATTCAAAATAATTTAAACATCAATGGCTCTCTAAAATTGAATATGGTTTGCATACAAACGTATTTTACACATCATAATATTCGCTGCAAAAAATTATATCTTAAAAGTTATTGATTAAGAAAATAAAATTCAAATTAATTTTTTCAAAAATTACTTCAAATTTTTATTAAGTTTCAGATAAATTGTTGGTGCTCTTTTTTCCAAAAAATAATTTTAATTTCTAAACTTTCTCAGCATATCCTAATCTCAAAAATTTTCTGTGGCTAATATAGCTATAGGGATAGATCGTGGATGGTGAACCACGTTAAAAAAACCTAGGCTTACATCCTTAATAATGTATTAATCGTGTAACTGTTCCACGTTAAACTCACATAATTATTTAGACTTTTTGAATAGGTAATCACAACTTATTCAATTTGGTTTCATTTGATTTATTCGAGGAAGTTCCTCGTAAAAAACAATCGTGGTTACTAGCCCTCGTATGAATGCTTAGCTCAATCAGTGTATATTTTTAATATTGTTAAAATTGAAATTGTTTGTTGAAAAAAAAAAAATAGGGCACTGCAATTAATTTATAAATAAACAAATACTAAATTGAAATATTAATTTCATCTATTCGATAATTTATAATATATAAATCTGACATTTTTTCTAAAAAATTAAATATTCCCTGAGCGAATCAATGTCGGAAAGCTGTAGAAAACAATGTTTTGCTTAGTTAATAGATAGAACAAACAAATTAAAGGGTATTTGTAATACATATAATATTTGTCTCCACCCAAATATTTTTTATAAATATTCTTTATTTTGCATGTTGTAGAAAATTGTTAGATTTTTTATTGATTTTAGACCAATCAGCTGAAGTTTATTATAATATTATGTTGATTTCACTTTTGATATTTACTATAAGCAGTTTTGTAATCCCCTTTACGAAAATCACTAACTACTAAATGTATTGATGTAGTTCTTCTCTAGCAAAATTGATGTACTTAGACATGGTAAACTCTTAAAATTTTAATTTAGATGTTATTTTTTTTGTATATTTTATTGCATTTACTATTAAAAAAAAAATAATCATAATAAAATAAAAAAACATTTACTATTATGAAATGGTTTTTAATTTGATATCAGGTATTGGTATTCAATTATCACTTTCTCCTTCACTACAACTGATGGGGTGACCATGGTCTTTTCCTAACTCGTGCGTTAGCAACTCGGGCGTAATGAAAAACTACCTACCTGAATTTGTCGCAACTCGAGCGCCCTCCAAAAATATGTACATATTGTATTGTAAATTATTGCTGAATTGCTGTTTAATGTCCAAAAGTTTAATAGTATATCATGCTATAAGTGTATAAGAGGGCCTTTAAAGCACGCGCGGCATATTTCAAAACACGACACGCAACGGAGTGTTTTGTAAGTCGCAAGGGCTTTGAAGTCCCTCCTATACACGCATATCATACTGTCACAACTGCCCGCTTTACGGTGGTAACATGGGGGGTTTGTAGCTTTAGGGGTTGATGTAGAAAAACTCGCTCAAGTTGTATAAAAGTGTAGATATATATTTTTCTAAATATGTCCTTACATATATGCTAGTTCTATAAGATGCATGACCCTTTGTTATGTAATAAAAAAAATATATATAGATAGATACCCAAATAAAGTGGCAATGAAGTGGGCGCTAATTTGTTAAGTAATAAAAAAAATAATGAAATTTAAAAAAAAAAAGAGAGAAAGAAGGTGAGAGTGAAAGTGAAGTGAAAATTTAGAAAGGTGGCCACAGTACTACCAGACGAGAAAGGAGACTCCGTTTCTAAAGGCTGCCGACTAACTCTTAGTGGAGAGTGGTGTGGGTAATTAACTAAAAAGCGCCACCTGTTTTAATGCCCTTCAGTTAAAAGGAGTTCCAATATTCCAAAACAAAACAGAAAAGCTCAACAGCTAAACGGTACTGCACCTGTCAAACTAAAATTGCCTAAAACGGTACAATGAAACGCTTCAATTCAGATCAATAAATGTAATCAATCTGCCCTCAAATATTACCTTTAACATCAAACTGAAAATTGAAAACAGAAATAGTCACCGGCGAAAATCAGCTGGTAGACATCAAAAAAATAATAATAATAACTGATAACGTACCTATACTAAAAATAGACGGTAAATAATTAATTCACATAGGGCGTCAGTACGCCATGGCTATATTATCCCCTAAATTTGTAACAATGCACCTCAAAATTACCTAAAATACCATTTTAAATAGATCTATTTATACCTGGTGTACAGTGAGCAGTGGAAATAATCAAATGTGTGATAATTTTGAGTGTAATTATTGTGATTGGCATATACTTAAAGGTAAGAATTTAATTAATATTATAAGCCTGAAGGGTTAAAAAATAATAATAATAATAATAATCTTTCAGCAAAATAGGACAAAGGTTCGCTGGTCTTAAAATCCAGAAATACCCTGAAACTGTTGGTACTTAAATGAAGCTCCAGCTCTCAATGAGATAGATAGTCTCTATAAAATGATCAATTTAGAGGCTTGAATGGTTCCCAAAGACAGCACAACAATACTCAAACCTTATTATTATATACTGGGTGTGTCTAGTTGGTTCTTAGAAGAGTGAGAGGGCAGCAAAGTCCTCAAAGTTCTTCGGGCTCCGGGTCCAGGTCCAGGACCATGTCGGAAAAATAACCAATCTCTGAGTGAATTCAAGGCCTCTGTAAATGCTTAGCTTCAAGATAGGGTTGGATGTCACTTGCTTGGTAGGGTGTATAGATACAGACAAAAACGGGGGCCCATAACGTAAAAAAAAGGCCTGAAACAATGAAAATTGCGTCAGGATTCTGAAGAATAAGGTATGTACGATTTATTTGAATATTTCTAGCAGTAAAGCCTCAATTTAGTATTAACAAGTAAGAAAATAAGAAACTTACCAATGGAAATTGGCCTTTGTTTCACAAACTCAAAAACGTGGAACCAAATAAGTTTTAGGTTTTTCTCCCTAATTCGTCACTAAATAAGCAAAATAGTGCTTCGGTGCTATTAAAGAGCTAATAGCCACCTTTTAACGAAATATTTAATTGGGACCTTAACTTTCGAAAATCAGCTAAAAGCCACGAGAAAAGCAAAAACGTTGCCTCTTTCTCAACGAAAAATGTGGTTCTGTCACGAAATCGGTATCTTCGCGCGGGAATTTTGGTTCTGGGGAAAAAGTTAGGGATTTTCGATTTTTAGGGTTTATAGCTTCAAATTTTCGAGCCAAAATTCAAAGCGACATCTATGAAACCAAAAAGGAAACGAGTTAAAAATTATTGTGGAATTAATCTTTCTTGACAATTTGACGTTCTTGATAAGTTTAAATAATTTAAATTCCCTATTTTCAGATAAATGTATTGAAATGACTGATGATGGAGATATATTTGTCTTAATTAATGAAGCACTGAACAAGGTAAGTGTTTATTTAACATTCAAAACAAAGGTACTTAACGGTTAATTTCATTTCAGGAGGGTTTGAGGTCCATGAGAGAAGATGTTCGGAGGTTCTTTAGTTTTTTAATTATTTTGTAACGACCTATTATTTTGACCCGTAACACCTTCCAACACTGGTGTCCTTATAGGGAGCTACACGTCAACGCTGCTTGTGGGACTGTCGGTTAGCTATCGCCACCCTTATGCCTTGTCCAGAGGAGCTTTCCCAACGAGAGGTACTGGCGCTGGACAACGAAGATTCCCAGAGAGGCTTTTCCAACGAGAGGTACTTGCACTGGGGAGACGTGAATCCAGAGGGGCTTTCCCAACGAGAGGTACTTGCACTGGTTCAAGTCTGGCCTTTGCTGCGGCTCGCGGCGCAATTTATATCCGTTTATTCTGCTCTCATCATAATTAATCAGGTTGATTATGAACTGTGTTTTATCGATTCGTAACAGACTCATTATTGAAATCATGTACAGTGTGTTATTTTCCCAAGCAGGCTCGGTGTTAACATAGGCCCCCCCTACAAATTATCCTAATCAGTAAAAAACATCCTAATCACTAAACCATAAAAAAATTAAAATATCAAGTTTAACATAAATTACTTTGGGATGGGTAAGGGTGCATTATTATTCAGGCTACAAAACACAATAATTTATAACTAAACAAAGTGTATCACCTATACAGCTCCAGTCATTGGTTTTCTTCTTTGGTCCGGTTCTGTATTCAATCTTCTAAGTGAATTGCTTCTGGTTCCAAGTACTTCCTGATGATTTGGTCATCTGGGTCGTGTGTTTGCGCGGTCCCACGGCCCAAGTAATCCTTGATCATTTCCTTTGCGAATGTGATGAAAATGATACTGTGGTCTGTCTACTTTTGGTCCATACCCATTTGTTTCCTCTGGTTTGATGTTCCTTGCCCCTATACTCAGTCCAGAGCTAGATCTGTTAGTGTTTGTTAATGTTCAGGTATCACATGTTCTGTGGGTATCAAACAAAATGTATACAGTTGCTATATTAATAGTTGGCATCACTATTGTTAAAAAAATGTCATGTCATGTTAATAAGTTTGTCAAGTTCACAGATTAACGTCCTAAAGATAGGAAACTTCCATGTAAAATGTTCGTTCGGAGCTGTCTCGAAAATAACACGTGTGGAGCTTCATGACTGCCAAAGCTATGCGGCGCTAGTATACAAAGCCACAAGCAAATGTCGATGTCATCTGTAAACTGTGAATGGTGAATATAATTTGTCAATGTGTTTGTCATCAGTTAGCCGTTTGATCTAATATGTTAGTGTTCTTTTATTTAATTTCCTATCAATTTTTGATAAAACTATGACTTGTTAATATGTTGTTAAAAAAAAAACTTTATGTTACATTCAAACATAGTGGAAATGCTCGTGGAAATGGGATTTGTGATGGTTTTTATTCGCCATTGTTTGACATTCTCATGAAGTGTGATTTGTGCACCAAATAAGACCAAAATTCCTAAAAATATACCTTCATTTATAGAATAGGTATTACTGCAGTGGAAGCTTATGAATTCATGCCATCACTGGCATCACTACTTTATCCTCAGAGACTTTGCTGAGTGTGGAATTAGTGAATTTTTTTTGCAGTATTATAAAAATTTTATTGTTTTTTTTTTCAATACGTTTTTCTATTATTGTTGTGTTTAAGGCTGTTCCAATGAACAAGGAGATGGTACTAAAATGTTGTATTATTTAAAAAAAAAAATTACAGATAATAAAATAAAATCGATTAGGGACAAATTATTTGAAAAAAGGCTAAATACTACTACAACACTGAACACACTGAAGTGCACACTAGCGCCCCCATGCTGTGGCAGTCATACAACTCGTAATCTGTGGTCAAGTTGTTAATAAAAGTTTAGTCCGTTAGGTCAGTCGTTTTGCTGATTATCCGAAAGGAAACCACGCCACGCTTTATTTCCACAAAGTGAATAACAAATTTAATTAGATCCTTCTATTACAATGCCTTCCATCGAATTTGTTTTGTAGTCCGTCCCTGGCTGGTGGTTTTGTATATACATGCAAAAAATAAAATAATATTTTCAAAAAAAGCAGATCTATTAGATACAAATAGAACAGTAATATACAGGGTGTCCCAGCCGAGAGTGACCCATTTTTAATGCTTATAACTTTTGAACCAGGTGTGCTAGCTACCTGCGGTTTGCGCCATTCGATTTCTCTTGGCCTAAAGTTTTTACTAGTAGGTTGCAAATTTTTTTAAAATTTATACCAGGGCGACTGAAAAAAAAAATCCGTTTTTCAACATCGAAATTCTCCACTATTATAAATGGAACACCACAATATCAAAAAAAAAGATTCATGTTCAAGGTATCCATGTATGAATAGACATCGTCCCTAAAACATGGAGTTTTAGCCGTGAAAAATCAAAATCGAAATATTGGTATTTTTGCAAACGCATATTTACAAAGCTTGGAACTTATGTTTGCCTAATAAAAAGTTGATAAAAACTGCATAAAACTATACTACAAGATGCTGTATATGTTATGTTATATGGATTTCACGACTACAATGATCTCCAGACGCGTCTCATCAC